AGGATGATTGTCAATGCTTTGGGGGTTTGGCTGTGATTGTTACAGGATGGGAATGTGTTCGGGGAGTTGAGTCAAAGAATGGCTTAGTGGACTAGATTGGGGGCAATGGTACTAAAGAGAAGAAAGGATTATGCATGATGCCCAGGTTATGTATTTAGTTCTTCAATTTTGACGACTTGCCTATCCATAAGCTCTGCCAGGACATCAACAAGATCTGTCAGGATCCTTTGTGTCTAGCAGGAGCTTACTTCAGGAGACACTTAGGATTGCTGAATTAACAAATGGTGCCAGAGAGATTATATATATACTAGAGGCCCGGTGCACCATAATTTGTGCACTCGGGGGGGGGGGTCCCCTCAGCCCGGCCTGTGCCCTCTCGCAGTCTGGGACCCCTCAGGGGATGACCACCTGCCGGCTTAGGCCCGGTCCCCGGTGGATTGGGCCTAAGCTGGCAATCAGACATCCCTCTGGCAGCACAGCAGCCCTTGGGGGATGTCCACTTGCCAGCAGGGAGCAGGTCTAAACTGCAGTCGGACATCTTTAGTGCTGCTGAGGACACGGGAGAGGTTCCCACCACCCCCGCTGTACTGGCAGCCATCGGCCTGGCTTGTGGCTGAGCAGAACTCCTCCCATGTGAGAGCACCCTGACCACCAGAGGGCAGCTGCTGCATTGAGCGTCTGCCCACTGGTGGTCAGTATGTGTCATAGTGACCAGTCATTCCCAGTCATTCTGCTGTTAGGGTCAGTTTGCATATTACCCTTTTACTATATAGGATAGAGGCCTGGTGCATGGGTGGGGGCCAGCTGGTTTGCCCTAAAGGGTGTCCCAGATCAGGGTTGGGGTCCCGCTTGGGTGCCTTGCCAGCCTGGATGAGGGGACGATGGCTGTTTTCAGCTGGTCACACCCCCTTCAGTGTGGGGGTTCCCACTGGGGTGCCTGACCAGTCTAGGTGAGGGGCTGAGGGCCGTTTTCAGGCTGGCGGATGACTGAAGCTCCCAACCTCTCCTTTTTTTTTTCTTTTCTTTTTTTATTCTAGGATTTATTTACCTTCTATGGCTGTCACTGGAGCTGAGAGCCAGCTTTAGCTCTGAGGCTTGGCTCCAGCTCTGAGAGCTCGGCTGCTGAAAGCCGGTATATGGGCTTTGTTTAGCTTCTATAATTGAAACTGGGGTGGGGGGGGGGATGGCGGGAGGTCCCTCAGCCTGACCTGCACTCTCTCCAATCTGGGAGCCCTCAGGGGATGTCCTACTGACAGCTTAGGCCTGCTCCCTGTGGTTTTCTGCTCTCAGGGGACCTGTCTTTTTGATGCCACCACAGGTCCTGGTGTCTGCTCTCTGTGGGGGCCTGCTTGCCCTTCACCACCGGGGCCAGGGGCAAGCAGGGCCCTGCTGTCTGCACACTCACTGTGGGGGACTGCTTGCCCCTTGCTGCCATGGCCAGGGGCAAGCAGGGCCCTGCTGTCTGTTCGCTAGCTGCGGGGGACTGCTGTCTGCTCATTCGCTGCAGGGGACGTTCCCACCCTGCCCCCAGCCGCTTGCGCTTACACCGGCTCAGAGGACCTGGGTCCTGGGGATGTGCTGCCCTGCCCCTGGCTGCTCAGTGCCTGTGTGCATAGGCCCAGAGTGGCCGGGGGTGTTCCGGGACCCCAGTTGTTCCAGGCCTACGCGCAGGCCTACAGACTCAGAGCAGCCTAGCTCCTGAGAATGCCTGTCCCTGGGACCCAAGCCACTCAGTGCCTGCACATGCAAATCAACCCGCCATCTTTGTCGGGTTAATTTGCATACTCACTCCTGATGGGCTGTGGGGCATCACAAAGGTATGGTCAATTTGCAACTTTCTCTTTTATTAGTGCGTGCATGCGTGCGCGCAAACACACACATGCACACTAGAGGCCCGATGCACAAAAGTCATGTAAGGGGCTCAGCCCTAGCAGCCCCGGTGCAGACCTGGCTGTCCCTCACAGCCCCGGCTTTGTCTGGAAGGTCGTCCAGAAAGACCTTCAGAAGGTTGTTCAGCTGTTTGGTCTAATTAGTATAATAGCTCTTTATTATATAGGATATATATGTATATATATATATACACACACACACACACACATATGTATACTTATTTATTTTTTAATCCTCACCTGAGGATATTTTTTCCATTAATCTTTTTTTTTAAAAGATAAGGCCTTTTTAAAAAAATATATTTTATTGATTTTCAGAGAGGAAGGGAGAGGGATAGAGAGTTAGAAACATCGATGAGAGAGAAACATTGATCAGCTGCCTCCTGCACACTCCCCACTGGGGATGTGCCCACAACCAAGGTACATGCCCTTGACCAGAATCGAACCCGGGACCCTTGAGTCCGCAGGCCGACGCTCTATCCACTGAGCCAAACCGGTCAGGGCTCCATTCATCTTTAGAGAGAGAATGAAAGGGAGGGAGGTGAGGGAGAGAGAGAAACATTGATGTGAACGAGACACATCAACTAGTTGCTTCTTGCATGCACCCTGATTGGGGCCGGGTATTGAACCCACAACCAAAGTACGTCCCCTGACTAGGAATTGAACCTGACCCTTTGGTCCATGAGCCAATGCTCTAACCACTGAGATAAACCGGCCAGGGCAGAGTGATATATTTTAAAAAGCAAGTCTGAAGACACTGATTTAGGTTTAAAGACTCCTGCATCTCCCCTACCCTGCACAGGGTCCCTCAAGGAACTTGAACTGCTGTGTTTTCTGGGGAGCGCATATGAAATACATTCATTGAATTCATCCAACAAATATGTACTAAGCATCATCACTATACTAGGTAGAGAGGACATAACAGAGACTAAGACAGATAAAAATCCCTACCTTCATGGAGCTGATATTCTAGTGAGGGATACAATAAATGAATAGATCAAATACATGGTGTGCCAGATAGTGGTAAGTATTCAAGGGAAAAATAAAACAGAAGGCAGACAGAAAGAATATGTATGTATCTGGGAGAGGGCTATCATTTCACATAGAGTGACAATCATAAAGGGAAGAACTTCCCAGACAGAGCAAATAACACAGAAAAAGGCCCTGGGGCAACAATGTGCCTGACAGGCTAGAGAAGCACCAAGTAGGCCAATAACACTGGAGCAGATTGAGAGGGGCAGGACGGAGATGAGGTCATACAGGGATCCAGTTTCTGTAGGGCTTTATAGGCCTGCTTTCTGCCTGTTCCAGCCTCTTCTTGTCTTTTATACAGTGAACAGAGGGCTCTGTGACTGCATGAGGGGAACAGAATATGGAAGTGGGTTGACCAGTGAAGCTATTAAAATAGTGCAGTAGGGGGGTGATACTGGCTAGTACCAGGGTGGGGCAGAGAATGGGGTTAGAAGTGGTCAATTCTGGATAGATTTTAAAGGGAGAGCCAAGAGCATTTGCCAATGGACTGGACAAGGAGCATGTCCTGGCCCAGTTCAAATAACAAACCTGTAGTCCAACAACATCCGGTTTATTTACCACAGCAATGAGGGAGACTCCACACCAGCGGTACTGTGGGGAGTCTCACCAAAGGAAAAGATAGTTATTATTGGGTTTGGGGGAAGGGTGAAATTTAGGTGAGATGTAAATGAAAGTGGCCAGGCTCAATGCAAAGTAGAACTGTACATAAAGGAATCAATATCAAGTCTGTCCTGTCCCCTTGGAAACAATAACGTTTACATAGAGGTGGAATGCTGTGTCCAGAATCACCTTACCTGAGCTCTGCACCGGGACTAAATAGAGGCTGCTTGTGTCAAAGTGACCTAGCTCCTCTCATTCTTACCGATTAACTTGAAACAACAAAGTTTGTGATAGTCTATGATTTTAGAGAACAAAATTTCCTAGTCAGTAAGAGAGCAGTGGTCAAAGAAAGGGAGTTGTGTCCTTTTACATCTGCAGCATATCCCTGAATAAAATATAGAAATATTTTTTCCTTTTAACTACTCATCCAGGTTTTTTTGTGTCTTATTCCAGCCAAATAAATGGGAAGACAGATTTTTTTTACAGTTCAAGCTAATTTTTACTTTCTCAAGTGTGAGGAAAAAGAGGTAAGGGTGACTCTAAGGTTTCTGTCTTGAGGAAGGAAGGATGGAGTAAGCTATTAACTAAGGTTGTGGAAGGTTTGGGGGAGACAAGATCAGGAGCTAGGTTTCGGATGTTTTGAGTTTGAGATGTCTCAAATTCGTGGAGATGGTTCGTGGTTCCTTACAGACCCAAGAACCTCACTTCTCCCTACAGAGCGCCCCCCCTCCCCTTCTTCCGCCCGCTCCATTCACTCACTACCTGTAGTTAATCGTCCAGCCCTGTTTTAACGTATCTGCATCTTTGTTATGTGCGGTGAAACTCTGAGAATACCGACTCTTCACCTGCCAACCCTGCTTCGACACTGCAAGCTGGACCAAGTGCCCACATGGGGACTGACCTTTGCCCCACTACTGCGCTCACTTGTGGAACCTCACAGGGCGGTTGTCGGCGCCCCGCAGGCCCGCAGTGTTGGAGCATTTCGGAGCCCAGCAGCACTGGGGCATGGCTGTCCAGCCCGTAGTTTCCCGCGGTCTGCAGCAGCACTTCGGTGGTCGCCCGCTTACGCTCTCTCCTCTGGGCTCATTTCAGAGCCGGGTGCTTCCTCTTGTGCCTCGGGAGGGAGGAGTGCGCCTGAGAACTCCCCGCCCTTTCGGTTACCACACCTGCACCCTGGTCACGTGGTGAATGGGGAAACAAGAATACCTCCCCGTCACCGGGACCTGATCGCCAGGTCAGGGAGAGATGGCGTCACGGCGCTTCCGAGCCAACTCGTCAGTCTGCTTCGGCTCCACCCTGGCTTACGTCCGGGAGACGCCGCTGCCAGGCTGTTGCCCTGAGGCGGCAGCAAAAAGCGAGATGTGGCGGTTTTGGTCTTGGCCACGTAAAAGTTTAAACCGGTACGATTTAGTGAGTGATGAAAACGCAGACTAGAAGCGCCACCATGCTTGAATCTAGCTGTGGCCCCACCTCGCCAAACGCTCCACTCCGCCTCTTATTCCTCATTGGTCAAAAGCACCGCCCGCAGTGCTGCGATTGGCCAAACGGGCGGCTACCGCATCCAATGGGCGGCGGCGCTGGCTTTCCCGCTACGGTTCGTTACTTGAGAGGGTCGTGGCGGCGGCGGCAGTTGGGTGTAACGGTCGCCCGGCTCCGGTGCGACCATGGCGGCCTTGGGGCCCGGAGGCTACGCGCGGAACGATGTGCGGAGAGGCCAGTCCTCCCCGCCCCCCTCTCCAGCGCTCTGCCTCCGCCGGCGGACGAGACTCCCCACGGCGCCCGAGGACACAGTGCAGAACCGGGTAAGGAGCGCTTGCCCTGCCCTCCCAGACCCTTCCCTTAGATATTTGGCCCCGCCTATCAGCTCCCGGCGTTTGACTCTCTGGCCCCGTCCTGTTCCTAAGCCCCGCCCCTTTTGTCAAGGTTCCTCCCATTTTCCCATCTCCTCCTCTCTCGGGTACGCCGTCATTCCTAGCCCCTCCTCATACCCTGACCCCACCCTCAGCCCTGGGAGCATTCCTGGGTTCCTCCCTGGTGTCTACGTTCCTGCGTGCGATTTCCCTCGGGCTTTAAACGTCTCTCTGGGCCCTTCCACTTTTGTTGACCTCGCCCCGCCTGAGCTGCCCCAACTCTTCCTCAGCTCTACCCCGCCTTCTCTTCCATTCTCCCTTTTACCAAGGTGGGATTCTTATTCCATATAGCCACCCAAAATTATGGTGAGGATGTGAGTAATTGTAATATCTCAGCAGCGCTACTTGGAGGGAGGCTTACAGAAGTTCTAAGACACACGAACAAAGATGATTTTAGAGTAGGTAGAGGGAATTCCATTAGCACAGCAGCAATTTAAAAAATTGTTCTTTAACTTTCTGAGCCATAAAGTATGTTTTTATATAATGAAGATAACAGTAACCATACCATGGAGTTGCAGGGAGATGAAATAAAATGTGAAATGACGTGCTTGGCACAGAGTCCCGATAAAGGGTGGATACAAGCTGCACTCTGCTGTATCACCCACTCCTGGCTGCAAGGCCTGGGCACGTGGCCCCTATCCACCTCTCTGGTGGTACCTCCATCCTCCCTCATAAAAAGGTTCAATCTCACTCTCCTGTTGTCTGTTTTCGGAGGCACCAAGCTCTTTCCCACTTCCTAGCCTTTGTGTTTGGTGAGTCTGGGCTGTTTGCCATAGTCTACCACAGTGGTTCTCAACCTTGGCTGCACATTAGAATCACCTGGGAATCTTTTTAAAATCCTGATTTCTGGACCTCATCATTAGTAACAAAGAAACAGAATTCCCGGAGGATGAGGCCCAGAAATCAGGATTTTAAAAAAATTCCCAGTTGATTCTAATGTGCAGCAAAGGTTGAGACCACTATGTTAGAGAGTATTTGTGAGGATTAAGTGAGCTCATATATCTTAAGCACTTAAAGCAACACCTGGTACATTGCAAAAACTCTGTTAGTATTAGCTACTACTGTTATGATTGTGAATTTTGGGTAATTGATGTCATTTATTTTCCTTGTTTGGTGATTGTTCACTTGTTTCTTTACTTGTGGAACCTCTATACTATAAATTTGATGAGAGAATGGACAGTGTTCACTTTTGCTCACTGCTGTGTCTTCCCTGCATGGCTCAAAGTGCTGACTTTGGAGCCAGACTATCTGGGTTTGTATCTCCAGCTTGTCATTCTGCTGGTGTGGGACCTTGGACCTCAATGTCCTCATCTGTAAAACAGGGCTGATAATAGTGCCTTCTTCCTTGAATTGTTTTGGGATTTCAAGTCTTGCATCCACATGAAATACTTAAAAATGTATCCAAAGGTCACCTTCTTAGTGAGGCCTTCTTCCCTAACCCTGTGCTCCCAGTTTCTTTTCCTGCTTTGTTTTTCTTTATTGCTCTTATCATCACCTGATACCTATTTTGCATATTTTTTCTATTCATTTTTTGGAATGTCCTGCATCCCATCACCACCAGAATGTGAGCTCCAGAAGGGCAGGGATTTTTGTGTGTTTTCCTTGCCATGCTATGCCTTTAACATGGCCCTGTGTATTTGTCAAAGGAATGTTGAGGAAAACAAATGTTAGCTGCTGGTAGATGATGATAAAAGGGTGTCCCAAAATTCACGCAAGAAGTAATTTTGATAGAAAACACAGGTTTATAATTAAAAGTTGTAAATTTTTTATTGATTCATAAAGTATACAGTATAGGGTTATGTATGGAATAGCATATCGGGTAAATGGCCTCCATGGCTTTGCTGGCACATACGCACTCTTGTTGAAATTTTCCATGACCGTTTTGCATAAATGTGGCTGAATTTCAGTATCCACCTGTTGTTGTTCCATAATCCATTCAATGAACTCTATTCGCTGTGCGTGGTCAGTAGGCTTCAGTTCTTGAGTCAATTGAACTTCGTAAGCATGAAGATGCAAACCTTTCGTGAGAATACGCTGTAGAGAGCTTCTCAAAATGCCCAATTCTTGACCATAGTGCTGAATTGATGTCCCTGGATTCTCGGCAACACTCTCATGAACTGCTTCAGTGTTTTGTGTTGAACGACTTGTTGAAGGACGGCCAGAGTGTTTAAGATCACTAATTGATCCAGTCTCCTTAAATTTTTTAATTAATCTCTTCACAGTTGATGAAGTTAAATCACTATTCCGACCATATTTTGCATGAAAATTGCAAACTGTAGCTGCCAAACCTTCATTATTTTTAAAATATTGCTCAACAATGAAAACGCGTTGTTCTTTTGTGTAGCGCTCCATTTTTAATAACCCTGAACTGTCAGCTGTCACGCTATCTTTTTTTCCGTTGGCAACACTTTACAGCACAAATGGCGTAAAATTCAAATCTTACGTGAATTTTGGGACACCCTTTAGAAGCTCAGTGAGTGTGTTGAATATAACAAGAACAGAATGGGTGGCTGAGGTGGCTGTGTCACATGGGACCTGCTGAGGGTAAGTGCTTTTGACTTGGGCTTTCCCCCTGCAGGTGTCACTGGAGAAGGTGCTTGGCATCACAGCCCAGAACAGCAGTGGCCTAACCTGTGACCCCAGCACAGGCCGCGTGGCCTACCTAGCAGGGTGAGTGGATGGGCCTTGGTTTTCCCATCTGTAGAATGCAGATAATGCTGCCTACCTCTGAGGGCTGTGGAGAAGATTCCATCTGTATCTACAACAGTACCTGGCGTGTAGTGAGCACTATGAAAGCCTTATTGTGACTGCAGGTGGGAGATGGCAGTGATTATGGGAAAGACAGGTGATTAAAACTCAAGCCATATCAGACAACCTGAATTTGTGTCCCAGGTCCACCATGTGCCCCTCTCTGAGCCTCTGCTTCTATGGTTATAAAACAGAAACAGTGATACCCTCCTCTTGGATTGTTGAGAGTACTGAAGGACATTGTGCAACTGTATATTGCACAAATACCAATCTAGTCTGACACTGTTTTGGGCACCAAAGGGACCCCCCCCCTCCAACCCTCATAGGGCAGGGCAGACCCATAGTCATTACTAATGAACATGAAACTGTTAGTCTTGGGGAAGTAAGCAATCCAAGATAAAGGACAGGGGCGGGCTTTTGAATCTGACAGGTATAGATTCACATCCCCACTCTGTCCCAGACCTACTGGATAGCCCTGGACAAAGGACTTCCCCTCTCTGGGCTTCAGTTTCCTCCTCTATAAAATGGGACGAAGATTCCTGACCTTTTCTGGCAGTTGTAAGGATTTAAAGAGATCGTGCACACAAGTCTTTATTAGCCCAGGGCCTGGAAGGATAATTACCACAGAGAAAGTGTTGGTTTCTATTTAAGAATGTTTTAATGATAAATGTGAAGTGCCCTAGAATTCTCAGCATAGACATCTGGAAGAGGAGGTAAACAGAGGATCTTCTGCTCAGAGGGAGCCTTTTTTATGTGTGAACTCTCTTCTGTTGGGGACAGAATATCCCTGGACCCCAATACTCCCCTCATTTGGGCACATTTTCTTCTTTCTCCTCAGCTGTGTGGTGGTGATTTTGGACCCCAAGGAGAACAAGCAGCAGCACATTTTTAACACTGCCAGGTAGGCTGGGGCCTGGGCATGGGCAGGAGTGGAACCCTGGAAGTGCTCATGATTAGGTGACTAATTCATTCACTCACCCATCAGTTCAACAACATTAACCAAGTGTCTGCTCTGTGTTAGGTATTATACCATGTGCTGGGGTCACAACAGTGAACAAAAGAGATGAGACTCTTTGCTCTCTGTAGAGCTGACAGCTCAGAGAGGGAGACAGCCTAAAGCCAATTGGCTAGCAAGCCCGCTGTGACCATTGCTATGGGGAAGTGACAAGGGATGTGTTAGGGCAGGTTTATAGGCAGAGAGTAGGGGATAAGCCATATCAGAGAGCTCTGGAAAGGCCTTCCTGAGGCTGAGACCTGGAGGAAGTGAGGGGGAAACCCATGTGAAGGTGAGGGAAAAGCATTTCAGGCAGAGGGCAAAGTCTAAGAACCTCAGGTTGTTTGAGGAGCAGCCAAGGATCCACGTGCTTGGAATAGAGGTGTGGGTGGGAGGAGATAAGGCAGGAACAGACAGAAGCCACATCACCTGGGCCTTAGGGAGGGGATTGGATACTGACTGCAAAGAGAAGCCACTGGAGGGCATTTATTTATAGGTTAAGGATATGCTTTTTACACCCTAACCTTCCAGCACCCTCAGTCTCCCTTCTCTGTTTTACTTTTCTCCACAAAAGGTACTTCTTTCTCAATATGCAACAAAATTTCCTCACTAATGATATTTACTGTCTGTCTCCCTTCCATAGTGTGAGTTCTCTGAGGGCAGAGACTTTCTCTTAGTGAATTTCTATGTCCCTTTCACCTAGAGCAGTATTTAGCACATTGATGGCACTTATTATTTCAGGAATGAATGAATGAATGTGATTTAGAAAGATCCCTCTAGCTGCTAGGTTACTGGGGAAGGCCCTTAGCTCTGAGTAGGCCCATGTTGGTGTCCAGGGGTCTGCCTTTGGGTTGATTGATCACTGTGCCATCCAACAAATGGCATGGAAAGGGTCCACTCTCAACCACTGATGAGTCTGTCTTAGGAGGTGGTGTGGCCAGAGTAGAGGTTTTCACCCAGCTGCATTTCAGAGTCACCTGATCCCTGGGCCTCACTCCCAGAGAAGGCCTAATCATTGGCCTGGAGTGAAGCATGGGTATTGGGAACTTTAAAACTCTTTAATCCTCACCTGAGGACATTATTTCCATTGATTTTTAGAGATTGGAAAGGAGGGAATGGAGGGAAAATATGGGGGTGAGGGGGGAGAAATGTCAGGGTGAGAGAGACACATCTATTGGTTGCCTCCCGCACATGCTCCCACCAGGCCCAGGGATTGAACAGAAACCCAGGTATGCACCCTATACTGGGAATCGAACCCTCCACCTTTGGTCCACAGGTTGATTCTCTAACCACTAATCAACACCAGCCAGGGCTAAAATAATTTTAGACTTAACAAGACTAGTGCAAAGAGTGTGTGTAAACCTTATACCCATATTCCCCAAATGTTAACATTTTATCACATATGCTTTATCATTCTCTGTCTATATACATATTAATTTTTCTCTGAATCATTAGAGAGTAAATTGGAAGCATGATGTCCCTGTATCTCTAAATACTTTGGCTTGTATTTCCTGGGGGGTGGGGGTGGGGGGGAGGAATGATGTGGTCCTTTAAAACCACATCAGGCAATACATTCAACAATATCAGGAAATTACAGGTGATACATTACTACCATCTACTCCTCATTCAGGTTTCACCATTTGTCCCAAGAATGTCCTTTATAGCAAAAGGATTCTGTCCAGAACTATGCATTGCTTATCATTGTCTCTTTAGTCTCCTTCAGTCTGAAGCAGTTCCTCCATCTTTTCTTGACTTTTATGACCTTGACACTTTTGAGGATTACAAGCCAGGTAATTTGTAGAATATGCCAACCTTTGGGTTTGTCTGATGTTTCCTCATACATAAATTCACGTCTACATCTTTGTCAGGAACACCTCAGAAAGAATGCTGTGTTTCTCTCAGTACATTCTATCGGGAAGTTCATGATGTTGATCTCTCTCATGACTGGTGGTGTTCACTTTGAGCCCTTAATTAAGGTGGTATCTGCCAGGCTTCTCCATTATGAAGCCTCTCTTTTCCCCTTAGGGCTACTTCTCTGAAACTTTGCAGATATTACCCTGTTTCTCACCAAACTTTTACTCACTAGTTTTAGCATGGCTTTGACATTTTTAAAAAGCTCCCTAGGGAATTCTGACATGCAGCCAAGACTGAGAGCCTCTGGCCTACAGTCCAGGGCTCTGCCCTGTATGGTTAGGTGTCCTTGGGCAGGGGACTTCCCTGTGTTGAAGTTTCCTCATCTCAAACTGACTAATGAATGTCCTGACTTCTTGGAATGTGTGTGAGGAATCAGCATACTGATGCCCATATAGCATTTGACAGAGGGCTGGGCACAAGGTCAGGACACATGATAGTCAGGAGTACTTGCAGACAATAGAAAACCCACAACGAACATGGTTTAAACACAAGGGCATGTTCTTCCTGCACATAAGTGTGGAGGTGGACACCCAGGGGGCTGGTGTCTCTGTGAGCATTAGGGACCCCACTTCTGTCTTTCTGTTCCACCATGCTTATTGTGAGGCTTCTGTTCTTGAAGTCACCACTTGACCTAAGATGGAGTTCTGGCTGTATGTACTTTCTTCAGAAGGGTAACAAGTGGAGAGCAGGACAGAATTCCCTTCAAAAAGCTTTTCTGGAAATTGCAACAGCACCTCTCATTGTCCAGACTAAGTCATGTAGCTGTACCTGTGTAGCTACAAGTGAGTGAGGAAATGTACTCTAGCTGGAGACATTGCCAACCCAATTAAAACTGATATTCTGTGAGTGGGGAAGAAGGGGTGAGTTGCTGTTAGGTAGCCAGATCACCTTTGTTGCTGTAGGAACAATGGGAAGCCATCAGAGGGTTGAGTTGATGATAGATGTTCTATAAGATTGTCAAAGACTTACTGAAAGACTTACTTAGTTATCTGCACACCAGTTTATTCATGTGAGGGAGACAACTACTAGACTGTTAAGGAAGAGATGTAAAAACAGCATTAAAAAGAGAGAGAGAGAGAGAAAAAAACAATGCAGTCTTGGAGCAATGAAACTTGCTACAAAAAAAGTGCAAACTAGTCTGATTATTCAGCCATTGTGCTGGCTATCTTGGAGTATCAGAGAGAAGCATGTTGATTAGCAACAGGTTTTCCAGAACACCTTGAGCGATTAGCAGTGGAGCACATGCTGTGGCTGTCTCAGTGTGATTGTTTGCCAGGGTCCTCCCTTCAGCACCACCTCCATAGTTAGGACAGATCTGTACCATTTCCCACATCTGAATTTCTCAGGATTAGAGGGCTGCTGGGATCTTAGGAAGCCCACTGTTGTAGAGGGAGAGGAAGGAAAGTCCCCATTCAGTGTCCACCCCATCTGGGTTTGGAGTTTAAGGGAGAAGGGACCTTTGCTTTTATAGAACCCCATTTCCCTATGCTCCTAGCAGCAGGGAATACAGGAATGCATCATGTGCTGTGCTGGGCACATAGGCAGTACTGGCCCCGTGGGAGCTGCTAGTGCTCACCTCTCCTGGCCTCTCCAGGTTTAGGAGCGAGGAGTGGGCAATGTGCTGTGAGCACAGCCAGGTTTGGGTCTGGCGTCCCACCCTAGTGTCTGTGGACCCAGTGATATCAATAATCCTTTTCCTTGCCCTCAGGAAGTCTCTGAGCTCTCTGGCCTTCTCCCCTGATGGGAAGTACATAGTGACGGGAGAGGTGAGTTGTGATCATGATTGAGTAGGTGGGGAGGTGTCTTGGGGCCATTCCTTCTGTCTTCACAGGCCTGGAAAGTCCCTGGAATAGCTTGTTCCTGGCCACAAAAACCTCCTGGCAGATAGGGGAGGTAGCTTTGGGACATACCCTGGGGCAGTGCCATCTTCAGCCCTGCCAGCCCTTCTAGCCCTGCTTGGTATTGAAGCCAGCAGCAGTTAACAGCTCCACCTTTCCTAGAACGGGCACAGGCCTACTGTGCGAATCTGGGATGTGGATGAGAAGAGTCAGGTGGCAGAGATGTTGGGCCACAAGTACGGCGTGGCCTGTGTGTCCTTCTCCCCAAATATGAAGCACATTGTGTCCATGGGCTATCAGCACGACATGGTACTCAACGTCTGGGACTGGAAGGTGAGCCAACTGGTGGGTGTGTGGGCAGGCAACCAGCTGCTGGAGCATCCTGGGTATCAGGCTTTGGAAGAACTAAATGAGATAACTTGGTAAAGTGCTCATTCATCCAGCAAATATTTATTGAGCACCTGATCCCTGTTTTAGGCACTTATTGAAAGGCATATGACAAGTGCTCAGTTAGTGGGAAAATAATTATTTTTATATTGACCAGCTGTGACCTTGATCAAGTGACTTAACTTCTCTGTGGGTCTGTTTCCTTATGGATATTGATCAAGTGACTTAACTTCTCTGTACGTCTTTTTCTTAAAATGGATATTATAGTATACACCTGGTTGAATTGTGAGAATTCAATGAATTGATATGAATCACTGGACTCTGGAATAGCTGAGGGAGGACTTGGAATCTGCAGAAATGGGTACCAAGTCCTGGTTCTGTTCATAACCTCCTGTGTAACCTTGAGTACATGATATCTTCCCTTTTAGCATGGCAGAGTGGGAGGAGAAGTACCTCCCTTATAGAGCTATTGAGAGGATCCCATGAGTTATCCAGTGAAGTGCTCAGCAGGGCCCAGAATGGGCGCTCCATTGATGGCAGCCATGGTTGCTATCCTTACATCCCAGCTGTGGCTGTCCTCCACACCAGCAGTTGCCATCCGGTGGTCCACGGACTACTGGTGGTCTGTGAGGTCTGAAAGGTTGGCAACCGCTGCTCTACACAATGTGGGCTGTAGAGCTTGGACTCAGGGACAGCTCTGGAACTTACTCTCATGTGGGTACCTTCCCAAGCCTCAGTCTCCTCTGTAGTGGTAATAAGAGTGTCACACAGGTTCTCCCATAGGTTAGCTTACTGGAGGGTCCAAGGAAAACAGACTTGAAGCAGAGGAGAGTGAGGAGATGCAGGGCTGAGGGCAAAGGCTGAAGTCTAATGGGGTGGGTGCTAGCATGAACTTTTCTGTACTGATTCTTCCAGAAAGATATTGTGGTGGCCTCCAACAAGGTATCATGCAGGGTCATCGCCCTCTCTTTCTCAGAGGACAGCAGCTATTTTGTTACTGTTGGTAACCGGCATGTTAGGTTCTGGTTCTTGGAAGTCTCCACTGAAGCAAAGGTGAGTTTTGTCCCTGCCACCTCAGCCAGGCCTGGGGAGTAACTGTCAGGGGCAGAATGGACTCCTGTTTCTTCCTGAGACATAGGGCTGTCTGGCCTCTCAAGCCTATCTCTGCCTCTGGCCTGCTCTCCAGTGCTGACTGTCAAGCCCTGCTAGGAATCTCCCCACTGCACTTCCTTCCTCACTGGCCCTGGGCCAGGCCTTTTTCCGGGGCTGCTGCCTTCCAGCCACTCTGCCTGGAAGTGTGTTCTATGTTTTTCTTTCCTTCTCCTCCTCTTGGAGGAGTTTCTTAGGGTCCTCCTGTGTAGTTGTGTTGTTCCTCTGGTCATGAGAGACCCGTCATGTTGCTGTTAGAGTAGAGGTTATGTGAACAATGTCTCACTGTGCCCTGCTATGCCTCCAGGTGACCGGGACAGTGCCCCTCATAGGGCGCTCAGGCATCCTGGGTGAGCTGCACAACAATGTCTTCTGTGGTGTGGCTTGTGGCCGGGGCCAGATGGCAGGCAACACCTTCTGTGTGTCCTACTCGGGCCTCCTCTGCCAGTTCAACGAGAAGAGGGTGCTGGAGAAGTGGATCAATCTGAAGGTACCCCACCTCTCTGCTATCAATGGGGGAAACACTTTTTCCATGACATGATCTCCTGGGACACTCAGCAGTGTTTCTGCCCGGTGGTTGATCACACCAGCTCTGGGTTTGTTAATCCTTACCCGAGGATATTTTTCCCATTGATTTTTAAAAGAGATTGGGGGAGGTGGGGGTAGCGGGAGAGAACATCAATGTAAAAGAGACACATCAATTGGTTGCCTCCCCAGCGCAGAGATGGAACTTGCAACTCAGGTATGTGCCCTTGACCAGGAATTGAACCCCTGACCCTTCAATCTGTGGACCAACGCTCTAACTACGGAGCACACCAGGCAGGGTACAGCTCTGGGTTTGACCTTATAAGTTCTGTTTGTATTATTCTGGTAAGTGACTTGCCCTACCTGAGCCTCAGTTTCCTCATCTGTAAAATGGAAATACTGCTGTATACCTCACAGAGTTGATGAGATAATATAGGTAATGCATTCAGCACAGTGCTAGTCCCCTGAAATGGGGTCAGGTTACAATTGCTTTACTCACCTTTTGATTCAGTTCACATTTCTCTTCTTCATTGAGCACTCTTGGCTAGTAGGACAACTGCATTTTTAAATTTTTAAAATAGATTTTTATTGATTTCAGAGAGAGGAAGGAAGAGGGAGAGAAAGATCAATGATGAGAGAGAATTATCAATCAGCTGCCTCCTGCACATCCCGCACCAGGAATCAAGCCCACAACTCAGACATGTGCCCTGACCGAGAATCAACTGTGACCTCCTGGTTCATGGATCGACACTCAATTACAGAGCCACATTGGCTGGGCCTGAATTTTTTAAAATACATATATATATAATATCATTGACTTAATCATTTTCAGTCAAAAAAGACTATACCAAAAACAACATTTTAAACTAAAAGATGATATATCAGTAAATTGCAGAACCACTTTTCTTTTCGTTTGAATCCTCATCTTAGAACTCATGCAGCTTTTAAGCAAGTCAGAAGCTTTTGACAGATAGATGTGTAGCCCCTGAGCAGTTGTCATAAGTGACTCATAAATTAAGTCCCTGTGAATTTGTAGAAACTCCTCTAATCTGTGTCCAGAGTTCGGGCATTTCCTGACTCTGTCTATATGTCCTGGCAGGATACAGTCCTTCCTGTATACAGTAACTTTTTTTCTATGCTGCTTTGAAGTATAATCTCTATGAAGTTGTTTTTAAACAATAGGAAATAAAATTTAAGCCTAAAACTCAACCCTGTTACTGCAAGTGACCTATCTTTAGTCACAGTCTGCTGAACAGATGTTTTCCACCCACAGCTGAGTTCTTCTGTAGGTAGCAATGATAACTCTATCCCAGTCTACCTGCTGGCACATTTCCTTCAATAGTGATCTTACGCTATATCCTGATTTCAAAAATTGTAAAATTTACTAAGATGGGCTTCTTAGACCCAGGAAACTATAAGGCTTCTCTGGAGGCCCAAGTTCTGTCAGTCCCCATGTCCCTGAATTGGGCCACACAAAGCACAAAGTTCACTTGGGTCCCCTTTTCCCCCACAGGTCTCCCTGTCTTCCTGCCTCTGTGTCAGCCAGGAGCTCATCTTCTGCGGTTGTACAGATGGGATAGTTCGCATTTTCCAGGCCCACAACCTACATTACCTCGCCAACCTGCCCAAGCCACACTACCTTGGGGTGGATGTGGCCCAGGGCCTGGAGCCCAGGTACTACCCGAGGGAAGGGAAAGGGGCCCAACCAGAGTCTGTCTATTGGTATACATCCATACTTTTAGATCCATCTCCATACTAGCCAGCCCTAGGCAGGAAGCAGGATACAGCTGTAATGAGGCAGCAAAATCTCTGCCACTGTGAAGTCTTCAGTCTAGTGAGAGAGCTTGATGGTAAACAATTACACAAATAAGATCATTTCAGATAGTCATAAGTGCTTTGGTGAAATAAAATAGGGACTCATATTTGGGTGGCCAGGGTAAGCTTCTAGTGAGAAGGAGCCAGCTGTGTGGAGAACTGGGTCCTGACAGCAAGTGGAAAGGCCTTAAGGGAATAGCACACTGGGCCTGGTGTGTTGCAGGAATACTGAGCGGCTGTGTGGTTGGAGCCCAGTGTGCCCAGGGGAGGAGAATAATAGGAGATAGGTCTGAGAATGGATGGAGGCTGGTAGAAGGAGCTTATAGTCTATTCTGAGGTCCATGGGCAGCCACTGGGGATTTCAGGCATAAGCATTATGTGATCAGGCCTGGAGCATTAGATCACTCTGGCTGCCATGTGAAGAATGGGTGGAAAAGCTGAGCTATGACATATTTTCCCTTTGTTGTAAGTCATTTTGTGGGGGCAGAGGAGCTACCTAACCAGAAGTGCTGGGTACCTGGGGTGACCTCTCTGTAGATTACTGGACACTGCCTCTGGAGTGCCTTTTCTAATAGCCTTGAGGGGGCTATTGGGTATCTCAAAGGAAAGAGGGTGGGTCAGCAACTCACAGACAGTGGTGTGTTGTAGCAGCCAGGCTGCCCAGCTCTGCCAGCTTTTGCTTTGTGCTGTGTGGCCTCAGGTAGGTCACTGTATCAACTTGTGCTTCAGTTTCTTTATCTATAAAATATAGTACCTACCTATCATGGAGGTTGTGGGGATTCAGTGCAGCTAAAGCTTTTGGAACACAGCAGGTACTTAATAAACTGTAGGGAGGCCCCAGATCAGGGGACAACAACTCTGCTCCCTTGCACAGAGATGTTTGGTCATGTGTTGGTGGAGCCCATGAGAGAGAAGGCCTAAGGTATGTGCCCGTGATCCTTCCATGAGAGAGGACAGAGCTTGGGTTGGGTGAAATGAGTGGAGAAAAATGTTAGCAGGAGTTGAAATTCAAATGTTCTCAAGGGCCAAGTGGAAGCTTTCACTTTACAACCTCTGTGTTAGAAACAGAGCAAAGGAAGAGAGAGGATGGAGAAGTGGAGTTGGAGTGGGAGAGATGGACCACCGTGGCATTGACATGAGATAACTCAAGTGTCACCATGTCACCACAGGCAGCTGTCACTACCCACAGTGACACTGATGGTGATTGATGACCCATGTTGCCTTGTTAGCTTCCTCTTCTGCAGGAAGGCAGAAGCAGTCTATCCGGATACGGTGGCACTGACCTTTGACCCCATCCACCAATGGCTATCCTGTGTGTATAAGGACCACAGCATCTATATCTGGGATGTCAAAGATATCAACAAAGTAGGCAAGGTGTGGTCGGAGCTCTTCCACAGCTCCTACGTCTGGAATGTGGAGGTGAGTCCTTTTCCCCTCCCCAGCTTTTGTTCAGCCCCCGTTTGACGAAAGCTTCTGCAGAGTTTGGTGATCCCATTTAGCCATTCCTTCAAAGGATGCCTTATTCCTTCAAATGGACTCCAGCAATGTGCCAGGTACTGTTCTTGGTGCTGGGGACACAACTAGGAAGGAAACTGACAAAAGTCATGCCCTCATGGAGCTCACATTTGAGTGGGAAAGTAAACCCATAAACATCAGTATAAGACATGCCAAGTAGCAGTACCTCTCAGAAGAAAAATGAAGCAGAGCAGGTGAAAAGGAGATCAAGGCTACTTGCTATTCTAGAGAGGAGAATGGTCAAGGAAGGCTCTTTGAGGACTTGACTTTGAAGCAGAGAACTGCAGGAAGTGAGGGGATGAGAGACATGTGACCACTTGGGAGAACAACAAGAGCAAAGGTCCTGTAGCAGTAGCCTCTGTACCTCAGAGAGCCTTCTGTGGAAGCTGTTTGTGTCATTTAGTGCTTTTTTATTTGTGTTGAAGATGTTTTTATTTTCTAAGAATAAATCTGTGGAGATTTTTTCATTCTCTAAAGTTGTTCTAAGTACTCCTTGCAAATTAGATAACTGATGGAGAAAGAATTGTATTCTACTTTTTTTCCCTCCTGAAAATATCTTACTACTAGGAATGTCTGTCCTAGAGAACTTGTGTTTTCAGTGGCCTAATTCAGAATTGGAAAAAATAACCTTTGGTATAAGTATTGATTTAGCCTATTGACTGTTTGAATCCTTCTGCTTTCCTGGATCTGATGCTTCTATTACTAGCACTTTTCTCACTTAACAAGAAAGTTTTTAAATAACTTTAAAATTGTATATATAAACTAGAGGCCTGTTGCACGAAATTCATGCGGCGGGGGGGTGGCGGGGGAGATCCCCTCAGCCCAGCCTGCACCCTCTCCAATCCAGGATCCCTCTCACAATCCTGGACTGCTGGCTCCTAATCGCTTGCCTGCCTGTCTGGTTGCCCCTAACTGCCCCCCCGCTACCAGCCAGGTCGCCTCCAACTGCCCCCTCCCTGCCGACCTGGTCACTCCTAACTGCCCCCTCCACCCCCCGCTGGCCTGTTATCCCCCAACTGGCAATCCCCCTTGCCGCCTGGTCCCCCCTCATGGCTCCCCCCGTTGGCCTGGTCACACCATGCAGCCTGCTGTTCAGTCGTTTGGTCGTCCCTCATTAACCCCCTGCTGGCCTGGTTGTAGGCAGCCATCTTATGAGGGTGTGAGGGTTAGTTTGTATATTACCTCCTTATTATATAGGATAGGATATGTTCTCTTTGAAAAAAAGTTGTAATATTAAAGGTAAAACTAAAGTCTTTTTGATCACTTCCCCACTGCCAGTACTACTCTCTCATCCATATTATCAGGGTTTTTTTTATGTTTTTTCAGTTCATTTTCTTTGTATCTACCTGTTATTTATTTATTATATTTATATATAAATATAAATTTTATTTATTGATTGATTGAATAATTCTGTATGTAATTAAAATATAAATCTTATTCTTATATTTTTATATGTGTATATTTATCTCTTCAACAAAAATATCTGTAGATAGATCTTTTTAGAACCTTTTTATTAATTCTGGAAAATTCTCAGCCAGTATAGGTTTAAGAATTGCCTCTATCACATTCTCTCTCTTCTTCTATAAATCTCATGTACTATTTCTATTTATCCTTTATTTTTACTTTTAAAAATTATATTTATTTTTTATACTCATTACCTTAAAAATTTTATTTATTTATTGATTGATTCTAGAGAGAGGAAGGAAGAGAGAGAGATAGAAACACTGATTTGTTGTTCCACTTATTTATGCATTCATTGGTTGCTTCTTGTTTGAACTCTGACCAGGGATTGAACTCACAACTTTGTCATATAGGGATAACGCTCTAACCAACTGAGCTATCTAGCCAAGGTCTTATCCATCCTTCCTTCTCTCCTCTCCTCTCCTCTCTTCTCCTCTCCTATGTCCACCTTTTCCCAGCATTCCACTCTCTCTAGCAGTCAAAAGACAGAGAAATATCGATGTGAGAGAAACACATCCATTGGTTTGCCTCCTGCACGCGCCCTGACCAGGGCCCTGGCTGGAGAGGAGCCTGCAACCAACGTATGTGCCCTTGACCGGAATTAAACCCAGGACGCTTTGGTCACAGGTCGATGTTCTAGCCACTAAGCCAAACCATCTAGGGCAGTGGTCAGCAAACTGCAGCTCGTGAGCCACATGCGCCTCTTTGGCCCCCTTGAGTGTGGCTCTTCCACAAAATACCACATGCGGGCGCGCATGTACAGTGTGATTGAAACTTTGTGGCCCATGCACAGAAGTCGGTATTTTGTGGAAGAGCCGCACTCAAGGGTCCAAAGAACCGCATGTGGCTCGCGAGCCTCAGTTTGCCGACCACTGATCTAGGGCACCCTTTATTTTTAAAGATAAAACAGAGATCTTAAAAAAACCACACAGCCCAGGCTGGGTGGCTCAGTTGGTTGGAGCATCATCCTGTACACCAGAAGGTTGTGGATTTGATTCCTAGGTTGCGGGTTCTGTTCTCAGTTGGGGCGCATATGGGAGGCAACTAACTAATGTCTCTCTCTCTCCCTTCCTGTCTCTAAAAATCAATTAAAACATCCTCAAGTGAGAATTAACCTCCCCCCCCACACACACACACATACATAAATAAAAGTACAATTCATTGACTGTCATTAGCAGCTGTTGATGTTAAATGCCAGATCCATTTATTCATTGGGAATTGCAATATGGTAATATTCTAATTCTATATTTCTTTTTATATATGTACTAGAGGCCCAGTGCACAACAATTTGTGCACTGGGGGAGGGGTCCCTCAGCCCGACCTGTGCCCTCTTGCAGTCTGGGACCCCTCAGGAGATAATGACCTGCTGGCTTAGGCCTGCTCCCTGGTGGCAGATGGCAAGCCCAATCCCTAGGTGTAGCCCCTGGTCGAGCTCAGAGCAGGGCCTATTGGGGAGTTGGGGCACCGGCCCCCTATCACACACAGAGCAGGATCGATCAGGGGGTTGGGGAGCTCCCCGCTGTCATGCACAGAGTAGGGCTGATAGGGGAGTTGGGGCACTGCCCCCTGTCACACACAGAGCAGGGCCGATCAGGGGGGTTTGGGTGCTGCCCCCTGTCACGCTGATCCCGGTGCCGAGAGGCCTTGCTGCTCCGCTGATCTTGGTGCCGGGAGGCCTCGCAGCTCCGCTGATCCCAGTGCTGGGAGCGT